GGTGCCAGTTGAAATCAGAAAGAAGACTGAGAAGCAGTTCACCCTACGTAGACACAAGTGCCCTCCAAACGATGACCTGGGAGATTGTGGTGTGTACTCTTTGAAGTACATAGAGTGTGTGGCTCTTGGAAGGACATGGGACGGCTTATCTGATCAGATCATTCCGGCTCTAAGATTGAAGTTGGCAGCCGACATCTTTGAAGATGCGAGAGAGGTTTTTACTGAAGACTGACATGTGTTAGGATGATTTAGTTTTACTTGTTATCGACTAGTACTTGGATGGATGATAACTTGGCTGTAAAATGGATGTTTTAGTTGGCAGGTTTTTGCTTTTGTTTTTATCTCGGCTAGTACATGTTTCTGGATGATAATTTGGGTCTATTTTTATGGTTATTGGCAGGTTATTGTCTTCTGATTTTTATGGTACTTCACAAGATTATTGGTCACATTGATTTTGGAGGTTATTGGCAGGGTATTGTTTTCTGATTTTTATGGTTTCTGTTTGTAAACACCAAAGAACAAAGAAAAAACAAATCCAATGTATACTCCAAAACCAAAGAAAAAACAAATTCAATGTAAACACCAAAGAACAAAACAAATTCAATTGAATACTCATCACTTCAGAGGGCATGTTTTAGAATTATGCCCCGCCTGGTTACAAATTCTACATGCATGGTCCTTACGTGGTCGCTTCTTCTCGGCCACTTTCTCCAAAATAGATTTATGTCTAGATTTCTTCGGTCGTCCAGGTGATTGACGGACATCAGGTGGTAAACATGCCTTATTTGCAACTTCTTCCGGAATTGGAACAGCATCATCTTTGGGCATAACAACACTTAAATAGGCATTTTGGAGGTACTGTTTCCGATAGTAATGGTGACAAAGTGATATACGTGATATCTTTCTTTTTTCCGCAGCAGCTATAGCACGAGCACATGGTAGCTTCTCCAAATCAAATCTACGGCAAGTGCATGTCTTCTCGGTCAGATTAACAACATGTAAAGATGAGACTCCCATCACTTGTGACTGATGGATGTCAATTGCTTGAACCTTTAACAGATTAGCAATAGGTATACGACCCTGCAAATGGTAAATTTTAGCAATAGGTACACCAAAAACAGACTAGTATGAGTAAACAAGATTGATTCTAAATCTATTACCTCCAACAACTTCTCTACACCACGAGTGAGAGAGGTTTTCATCAAGTCAGCATCATGTTTTCTTGTTGCAAACCAACGTGTTATCATTAGTCGAACTGCCTCTAGAAGTCGAACAATTGGCAAGCTTCTCACATCCGACAAAGCTCTGTTTATGGATTCAGCTATGTTGTTTGTAAGTATGTTGTACCGATTACCTCTAAAATGAGATCTTGCCCACTTACATACATCAGCACGTTCCAAATATGCATGTAAAGCCGGATTTAACACTTTGATCGTCTTGAAGATTGCTTGAAAGTCTGTTACCCTAAAAGAGTATGCGGCTTTTTTAACTAACCCAAACAGATCACGCCCTCTATACCGTAGCAAGATGTTCTTGTATAAGTGGTAAGTGCAAATTCCCCTGCTAGCCAATGGATAGGCCACTGAAATAGCCTTCCCAATTGATTTGTGTCTATCAGAAATCAAAGCCAAGGCTTCATCATCAGGTATCACACGGCTGAGTTGTCGGAAAAACCATGTCCATGATTCATCATTCTCTGTGTCAACAACCGCAAATGCAACTGGAAAAATTTGGAAATTACCATCCTGTGACGTGGCAACGAGAAGCGTTCCTTTATATTTTCCTTGCAAGAAAGTACCATCAACCACGACAACCTTCCTCATGTATGGAAATCCGGTAATGCTAGCACTGAAAGCAAGGAATAAGTACTTGAACCTATTGTCTGCATCGACTTCCAGTGCGGTTACAGTTCCAGGATTCGCCAATTTAATCCTATGCAAGTAAGCAGGTAACTCTGAGTATCCACTCTTCGATGAACCCAATACGAGATCTCGAGCAACCAAAAGTGTACGACGAGCTTTCCAATACTCCATCTGAAATATGCAAATGACATCGAGACATTTAATATCATATGAGGTCTAACAACACAGTAATTTTGATGCAAAAATCTTCTCGATTTACCTTGATTCCGAATCTCAAGGACATAGCAGTAGCAACATGACTTGGCAAAACAGTCTTTTCAACCCCACCAACATAGTCTTTGTACTAGACTCCAAGAATTTCAGGAGTTGCTTGTCGGGACCGAGCCGAACGCTCTGTTACAGAGCAGGAATGTTCTGCTACATATACTCTAACAGTAAACTTTGTAGATTCGCCTACTGGTGAAGCTCTAAGCTTCCACGTACAACCTTTTAACCAACATTGTAGACGTAACAACTCACGCGTAGATTTTACCACATCAAAATCAAACTTTTTGACAACTGAAAAAAACTTCAGACGTGTCTCCAGTGCATCTTTTGATTCGAAAGTTTGCCCCACATTAAAGTTAAAAGAGCTCACGTCAACCCGATCCTGTAGAGAATCTTTCTCCTGTGTCTTTTGAACAGTGTCGCAACTCGTCTTTGTAGGAGATCCCTGATCCTCTTGTACTTGCTCCGGCGGAACCCCATATGACGTAAAAATCTCGTCTTCAGATGTTACACCATCGGAATCGTCGCAGTAATCAAAGCGATCACCCTTTTCATCTGTATCATCAGAATCGCTAGACAATGGATTATTATTTTCTACGGTTTCTTCTGGCTCGTCGGTAGCTTCTTTGACGTCGTCTTTCTTCACTTTAAACTCTACACATAGTCTGAGGTTTTCGACTTTGTGAAGACACAAAAATCTCTGAAACTGGCTATCGTTTCTTACTTCACAGGAGGTGTATCTATATTTTCCTTGAAAAAATTACGCTTTGGAACAAGGTACGCAAGCTCCAACTCATGAAATGCAGAAGCAACTTCGTAATCCTCATGTATGATCTTCACAAAATCCTCATATGTAGTTTTCTCATTGGGTATGAGTAATTTACTACCTCGCTCATTGTCCACTTCAAATAACCACTTCTTCCTCATGAATACCCACTTCCCACAGACCAGAATGATGTGATCCATTGTTCTGCAAGCAAAAAGGATAGAAGAGTTTTCAAACCACCATGAAAAGAACAACTTGAGAAAGAAGAAAAGAGGGGTGAAAGAGATGACGACAGTTACTACAAAAATAATTAGCCCTAATTGTGGTCTTAAACCACTAGAAATAAACCAAAATCGGATTAATTGGAGTAAACCAGGATTCAATCCGAATTTAATTTTCACTGGTTTACTAAAACCCATAATAATTAAACAAATCTGTCACTACGTAAAATAACAAGTCGGCCACGTCGTAATGCAACAAGTCTACAACATTTGTAAATCTGTGATAGATTTGCCTTAAGTCTACCGTAAGAAGAATAGATTTTCTATACAAATCGGTCATAACTTAACAAATCTGCCTTTCGAAAATAAGTCGGTCGCACAAATCTGTGGTTTGATACAAATCTGTTGTCTCATCCGACAGACATATTTAAGAAATCGGTTTTTTAATACAAATCAGACAAAATATAGACAAATCTGTTGTGTCATACGATAGACATTTTTAACAACTCTGTTGTACGGCCGATTTGTTTTCCCCAAATTAAATCTGCCGACGACCTAATTTGAGGGACCCTTTTTTTTGGTATAACTATAACCAGGGGTAATTTTGACCACAAAAACATTCTAATAATTTGGAAAAAAAGATATGAGTCATTCTAGTAATATCACCATAAATTTTGAGTCATTCTAATTTTCTTCCCTAGATTCTAAAGTCAAAACCCCAATCGAAGCCTTAGTTTTGTTCTATTTGAATCGGTCAATGTTCACAAAACAAGTTGGCAAAAAAAATAAGAGAAATTACTTGGAATGACCCAAATTGATCTTAAAATGACTATAATGACTCATATAAAATTTTAAATACTAGACCCTATTTTGTAACAAGCAAATGGACTAAAATACCCTTTTAATGTGTGCAATCCAAAAAAAAGTTTACGAGGAAAAAAAACATTAAACATAAAAGAGAAAATAAATTAGATTCAACATAAAAGAGAAAAATAAAATTGTTTCTCGGGTCTCTTTCTCTTTCTCGCACGACAACGACGATTTCGAAGGGGGGGGGGATTCTTTCTCGTCGTCGTTCCTCTCTCACTCCGACACCATCGCCTCTGTCAGAAGTCCATCTCGTCGTCTTTGTCTCTTACGTCGCATCTTTCCACAGACCAGAATGATGTGATCCATTGTTCTGTAAATAGAAAGAATGGAAGAAAGTGTTCAAACCACCATGAAAGGAACAACTTGAGAAAGAAGAAAAGAGGGGTGAAAGAGATGACGACAGTTACTAAAAAAAATAATTAGCCCTAATTGTGGTCTTAAACCACTAGAAATAAACCAAAATCGAATTAATTGGAGTAAACCGGGATTAAATCCGAATTTAATTTCTACTGGTTTACTAAAACCCAGAATAATTAAACAAATCTGTCACTACGTAAAATAACAAGTCGGCCACATCGTAATGCAACAAGTCTACAGCATTTGTAAATCTGTGATAGATTTGCCTTAAGTCTACCGTAGGAAGAATAGATTTTCTATACAAATCGGTCATAACTCAACAAGTCTGCCTTTCGAAAATAAGTCGATCGCACAAATCTGTGGTTTGATACAAATCTGTTGTGTCATCCGACATACATATTTAAGAAATCGTTTTTTAATACAAATCAGACAAAATATAGACAAATCTGTTGTGTCATACGATAGACATTTTTAACAACTCTGTTGTACGGCAGGGGTAATTCTGACCACGAAAACATTCTAATAATTTGAAAAAAAATATGAGTCATTCTAGTAATATCACCATAAATTTGAGTCATTCTAATTTTCTTCCCAAAAAATAATTGGTCAATGTTTACATAAAAATAAGGGAAAGTGAATCACAACTGGCAATGATAGCTCAACAGTGCCTGAACAATAATTATTTTCGTTCGTCTAGTGTGTTAAACCAATCAAGAAAGTGCGATCTTGCCTTGTTGCTCTAAACTTTTCACCGAACAATCCATCCAGACTCAATACAGTGTTCTCGCCATGGCTGAATCCTCCTCTCCCACGGTTGCACAACATCAAGTGTTCATCAATTTCCGTGGGGTGGAGCTGCACCGTGTATTCGTCAGCCATCTCGTCTCGGCCTTGGAAAGTCATAGCATCGTCGTCATCGACGACTATGAGGACAACGGCAAAAATCTAGATTCCCTTTTAAAGAATATAGGGGAGTCTCGGATTGCTCTGGTTGTCTTCTCCGCCAAGTACACCAAGTCAACTCGGTGCCTAGAAGAACTAGCGAAGATTAAGGATCGTGCGGATGAAGGTAAACTGGTGCTTATTCCCATCTTCTACAGACTGGAACCATCTGCAGTGAGAAATTTAGAGGGAGACTTTGGTGATGCATTCAGGAGTCTGGCTAAGGGTGATAAGAGGAAGCCGAAATGGGAGGACATTTTTCGTTCCATTCAAAATATCCTGAACTTGACGATTCCTGAGAAAAGGTAATTGATTTTGCTCTACTGGTTTAGAACTTAGCAAGAGAAAATGAAGTATCGAAAGATATTTACGAAAGGACTTTAGGAAGGTCATGATCTCATTAGCTATATTTCCTCATTTCAGTTGCAGCGAAGAGAGCAACATCCTAAATAAAATCGTGTGGGTTGTTAGGAATTTACTGATCAGAATTCCATTGGAGGCAGTCCAAGATGCCTCTGTGAAGACTTCAGGAAGTAGCGACAGTACTGGAACTCTCTCAGGGGAAGAAAAACATAAGACTTTCACGGTGCATGAGAAGAGGTATTGATTTGAGATTAAGATTTATACGATTTGATAACACATAATTGATCGAGTTATAGTAAATTATATGCAAATTACATCCCACATAAGGCTCATATCTCTACCTCCTATGTGAGAGATTTCAAGAATACGATTTAGTTAATAAATAGTTGTTCAAAATAAATTTAAATATTAATATAATATAGGCATTAGATATTTAAAAGTGTTTATTAAGGAGTGGTTTTACAAAAAGAGCAGTAAAGAACTTTTATCAACTCTCCAATGGGCAGTAAACTCCTGCAACCGCAAACTCAAGTTTTCATCAATTTCCGCGGAGATCAGCTACGAACCAATTTCATCTGCTATCTCGTGGAAGCACTTCGGAGAAGTGATATCAACGTCTTCATAGACACTCAAGCGCCTAGAGGTGAAGACATCAACAATCTTTTTAATAAGATCGAGGAATCTGGGGTCGCCATAGTTGTGTTCTCTAGCAGGTACACGGAATCAAAGTGGTGCTTGAACGAGCTTAGGAAGATTAACGAACGGGAGAACCAAGGCATGCTCAAGGTGTGACCCATGAACATATACATATTTCATATATATATATATTAGTTTTACCTTTTCTAGGGGAATAAAGTGACTTGTATCTAGACCATTGTTATTCTTACTAGTCTAGGTGGATATTATACATATTTTTACACATACCATTAACCTTCGGACTCCACTTACTCTGTAACACAAGGTACTTCCGGTCTTCTACAAGGTGTCACCAATCAATGTGAAAAGACTTAAAGGAGAGTTTGGTGACCATTTCAGGGATCAAGAGTATAAATATAGGTATGAAGAAGATAAGATAAAGCAATGGAAAGAGGCAATGGCGTTAGTCTCAAATAAGTTTGCCCTGGTTTTGGAAGAGAAAAGGTACTAATGGTCTAAACCCTAACCAAATTTGCATGTCAATACATACTGTTTATTATGTATTTTGTTGAGAAGCAAAGGAAACCCTGTACACAAAATTCTGACATATTTAACATACCTATCTGCCTTTGTTTTTTCTTTATATGTTTAGCGGCGTTTTAGAGACTGACTTTGTGAAAGATATCGTCGTTGAGGTCTTGAAAATGCTTAAAGACATTTCCACAACGAAAAGCAGTCAATCCTGTAGTTGCCCTTCGTTGTGCGGAGAAAAGCAATCTGAATCTCAGCTTTGATGGTAAAGAATCACAAATGAAGAACCATCACCAAATTTGTTTGTATGACCGATCACTTATTGTCAAGAGAGTTGTAAGAAAAGGAGCAAAAGAAAAAAAGTTTAAGAATTCACATCTATGTCTGGTAGATACTACATCTGGGATAGATAATCTCTATCGGTCTATCCCAAGAAGCACAAGGGAGCTCAGCAGTCTTGATGTTCTGAATCTAACAAGGGTCGTTTTTTTGTTTTATAAGATGTAGTTTTTTCTCAATGCTACAAACTATTGAAATATCTTATCTGGTTAAATCCATATCGTAGCTAATCTTTTAAACTTCAGTTCAACGTTTAAACCAGCTCCTCTCTAATTATGTATTTAAAAATCCAGTTGATATCAAATGCACTGGGAGGTATCCCATTTATCGATTCTCATAAATTTGTCTGCATATTTATTATGAAAAAACTAACACCAACCAAAATAGAGAAGATCGAATACACAACAAACAATATTTTTGTTTTATTAAGGAAATTTTAAAATAAATCACTAACATGTGATTAGCTCCTGAATACTTCCTAACGTACCCAATCTTACTACACATATAGAACAGCTGTGTGTCCCTTTATTCACTCACCGGGGGATGCTTCTACTCAAACACACTTTGAGGTTCAAGTTCTTCTATAGTAAGTATTCTATTCAAGCTTTATAGTCGCAGCACCAATTGAGGATCTCGCAATTATCCAATGGAGAAGATCCTTCTCCCTTTCTTATCATCAACATCTAATCTGTCTCACCTGCTCTGGAAATCTTTTTGACATTAGACACTTGCCTTTCTTTCGTACAGCTCGATGTGCCACATTATTATTAACCTTTACTGACACAGATTTTCCCGCCAGCATATAATAAGGACCTTTACCCAATCGTAGGAGGCCAAAATGTGATCTTTTCGAATCTTTGGAGCTTTCTTAGGAGCCTAAAGATGAAAAAACTCTGCCTAGTAAATGAGAGAGGCCACTCCTAGTCTCATTTTTGCATGTGGACCTAATACTATAACCAGCAGCATTGTAGAACTACAACTGACATAGTTAATCCTAATAAGGTTTTTCTCAAGGAAGAAGTTAGCTGTATGTATCACAACAGAAGAACCTTTTGCCACAAAAGATTTCAAACCTTCAGATGCAAACACATCAGCTTGGGCATTTCAGACCTTCAGATGCAGGCACATTGACCCTGATTTCAGTTTGTGTGGTGTGTTTATGTTATAGAAAGACAAAATTAATTCAGATACCCAGAAGAATTTGACTTTCTGCAAGTTATTTGCAAGATAAAATAATACCTGGTGTTGTTCTTTGTTCATGTTCTTAACTACACCAAGAGCCTTTGCTATAAAAGTTATGAAGACTTCACGCGACAGATTAAAGATATTACTAAATGTGCTATGCATCAGAAGCCGTTCAAACCTCCAAGGAATTGACTTCACAGACACGCAACCGTGAGTACTTAAGACTTCTAGACGGTGGGGCTGTATAGTTTAGGGAGCCGCCTGATGTTTTCAGGAATATCTCTTCTAGTATATTCATCAAGGAACAAAATATAATCAAGCTTATTGACCGCCAAAGCTTTACCATCTTTCAAGGTTGCACAGTAGGCTCTTCTGTATGATCCTTCACTGATCAATACCTTTGATCCAAGTTATCATTCATATCTTTCAGCTCATTCAATAACAATGCAGGCACATAAGATAAATGGAAGCTCCTTTAACCCATCAGGCTTCACATCAACATGTGGTTTCATATTGCGCCCTTCAATACAAGAAACACGAAAAGATGAATAAGGTATCCTTATAACCTAGTATGTAAAGAATACATACAACTAGTTTGAGACAAAAGAGCAGAACGAGGATAGTAGGGTAATTCGTTCTGGTGTCAGAGGAGGAAATTTTGCGCCAAAATCCTCCAACCAAGATTCAGGATGTCTTTCAAAGAAGCTTTGATGGTCTAATGAAGACAATGAGTCCCTCGTTGATCCTTTAGATAATAGGATAGAAATGTCAAACGTGTTTCAAGATATATGGGTCGGTTTGTTGTTTGTGAAGAAAGCAAAGAGTCAGGGTAGCGTAACGGATTGTGGGATGCTAATGAAATCTCTGAAGTATTGACAAACAATTCTGTAAGTTTTAAAATATTTTTATCATCGATATATGACAATTCAAATAGTAGAGGTTTTACTTGGAATATATGGCTGACAATTTCAGAGAATTTCTTGTCTTACTTTGCCAGGGAACAGAAGCACTTGAAGGCATATTTATGGATATGTCTAACTTGATGTGTGAGGTAAGTCCTAATATATTTGAGAGAACCTATAGACTTAGATAGCTAAAGCTCAAACTGTTCAGTTTCTGGAAACCATTGCAACCTTTTTCTACCTCAAGGCCTTGATTCTTTGCCTGATGAGCTACGACTACTCCACTGGGAAAGGTATCCTTTGAAATCCTTGCCGCGGAAATTCAATACTAAGAACCTTGTGGAGCTGAATATGCCTTATAGCAAGATGGAAATGTTATGGAAAGGGACAAAGGTAAGTCTTAGATTCTAAAATCTAATCAGCTTCTAACATGAATATCCACAGTGACTTACTTTTGCTTTTTGTAAACAGAATCTTGAGAAGCTTAAGAAGATCAGACTGAGTCACTCCCAACAGTTAACTAAGATCCCAAGGCTTTCAAAGGCCTCGAACCTTGAGCATATTGATCTTGAAGGATGTACTAGTTTGGTGGAAATTACCTCATCTGTCAAGTATCTTGACAAGCTTGTTTCCTTGAATCTGAGAGACTGCTCTCGATTACTAACTCTGCCTATTCATTTAGAATCTCTCCGAGTTCTTAATCTATCTGGTTGCTCAAATCTCGAGCAAATCCAGGATTATTCACCAAATCTAAAAGAGCTGGAACTGCCATAAGAGAAATACAATCTTGTATAGAGAAGCTCACTGGACTTGTTACATTAGATTTGGAGAATTGTAATCTGCCACCAGGGGTCAAGTAACTTGAAAGCTATGGTCACACAGTGTTCTCTGGCTGCTCAAAACTGAAGAACCTTCCAAATCTTGACGCAGCTATTCTAAGCGGCTCGGAATATCTCAGTACAGAGACAACAATAGAAGTAATGCGGCCTTGGTATATCCACAAAATGGCTAGATTCTCCGCAAAACATGAACGGAGAACAACGCCAGATACTCTTCTTACAAATAACGGTCCAGAAACTCACATTCTTTTGCATATCGTCTGGAATTGATTGTGTCTGTACCAGAAACACATCACAGAAACTGCATTCAGCATCAGTGTGCCTGCATCTGAAGGTCTGAAATCCCCAGCTGATGTGTTTGCATCTGAAGGTTTGAAATCTTTTGTGGCAAAAGGTTCTTCTGTTGTGATACATACATCTATCCTTTCCTTGAGAAAGACATTATTAGGATTTACTAAGTCAGTTGTAGTTTCTTTTCGGGATGATTACTACAATGCTGCTGGTTTTAATTAGTATTAGGGTCCACATGCATTATGAGAACGAAGAGTGGCCTCTCTCATTAGTTCGCTGACTACTTCTCAAAATACATGTCTACAATGTAGCATCAATAAGTTCAAAACAACAGTAGAAGTTATTTGGAGATTTCATATGAAGATATTACTGATAAGCAATTTTTTCTTTTATTATTAATAAAAAATTAGTTCACCTGGTAAGGAAAACACATAATCAATATATTTAAAATCCAACATATGTTTGAGATCATTAGATACAAGTAGGTACATCTTTGCAAAATTAGCTGCTCTTTAAGTATTAGAATCAGCCACCGGTGTTTGTACCATGGAAGTTTTTGCTGACGTTTGTCCATCTCTGTAACAGTAGTTGCTCTGGTAGAACTCAAACCAGACACAAAAGAGGGACACAGATCACTCGACATATCACTACCAGAAGGGATGATTCTAACTTTCATTACCAGGAGATGAGAAGTTTCCAACTTCAAAAACAGCAGATGGGATGCTTCCAACTTCATTACCAGCAGATGATCCAACTTCATTACCACCAGATGGGAAATATTCACCCCTATACATTATTTTGCAGATAACATAGGTCTGCTACCAAAGTAGACAATAATTATTTGTCAACAAAACGAAATTAAAACTCTGGAAACTGTACCACAAGCAAGAAAAACTAGGCCACAAACAATTAAAACTGCGAGACAGTGACCACATCAATACATAAACTCTATTTCAACAAGAACATGGGCGCTAAAGATAAAACATAAGAAACAACCAGAAACTCTGAAATTATTACCTGCTCAAGAGGCAAGCAAGTGATGTTATACTCGTGCATAACCCAAGGAGTCCTAACTACATTGGAACCCTTTCCTTTATGGTACACCAACGTCTTCAGTATCCCGATCTCGTTGTAATTTCCTCCCTTATCCTTGATTGTCCGATCACGACCAGTAGCTTTCCACAACCCAGAAACTGTAGTCCTCTTCCGTACCCTCGGCTTCGTGGATGTGTATTCATTCCGAGAGAAGAAGTACCACACGAGATCATTCGATTCCATATTCGATAACGCTGCAAACAAAAACAAAACAAATCAGACACACGATTGATTTCAAGGTGAACTGAGATTGATAAAACTTACCAGGCAGATACTCTGGTTCGTAGCTATAGATGTAGATCTCGCTAATCCAATCGTCAACGAGCCAACTATTACCCAGAATTTTGTTCTTGAGATAAAAGTTTATCAATTCCTCATCCGTAGGACTAAACCTAAACCCCACCCAATTATTGTTCATTTGATCACTTGAGTTATTACTACCAGATGGGAAGTTTCCCACTTGGCCATCTCCATACAGGACGTCTCTAGCTTGACCCTTATGCTTTATTTTGCAGATAAAATAGGTCCTCTGAAAAGATCAACGTACACAGCATTAAATATTTGTCAAGAAAACAAAATTAAGACTCTGGCAACTCTATCACAAGCCTTGACAGAATCAAGAAACTTTGAAATTGTTACCTGCTCAAGAGGCAAGCAAGTGGTGTAATACTGGTGCATGACCCAAGGAGTCGAAACACCATTGGAACCATTTCCTTTAAGGTACACCAACGTCTTGACAATCCCGATCACGCAGCCATTTCCTCCCTTATCCTTGATTTCCCTAACATCACCAGTACGTCTCCAAAACCCAGAAGGCGTAGTCCTCTTTTTTACCGTCTTCTCTGTGGATTCACACGGAGAGAAGAAGTACCATACAAGATCATTCGATTTGATCTTCGATAACGCTGCAAAAACAAGAAAACCTTGAATCAAACAACACTGACTTATTTCAAGGTGGAATTGAGATTTGAGAAACTTACAAGGTAGAGACTCTGGTTCGTAGCTATAGATGTTGATCTCGCTAATCCTAGCTTCGACGAGAAAATTTTTACCCAGAATTTTGTTTTTCAGATAATAGTTGATCAGTTCCTCATCCGTAGGACTAAACCTAAACCCCACCTGACTAGTTTCAACACCTTTCCTGATATCATCCAGAGATGGAAAGACCTCCAAGAATCGTATACCACATTCTTTTATCTTTATCGTTTCCTTCTTGTGGTCAAGGCAATCAAACACAAACTGCACATCGCTATAGTACAGCTCCGCTGGGGAATCATTTACTTCATCGGGAGAAAACTCACAGTGGAATACGATTAGATGGTTTCTTGTAGAGGGAGTATCGGTCAAACAACTATAATATATCTTATCGCTTCCACCTTTGAAGGGCCAAACCACCCCAAAGTGAAACGAACCAGATATAGATTGAATCCTGATGCAAGCCTTAAAACTTGGGAACCTTTTGGAAAGAGAGCTCCGAGGTAAAGAAATGGTTAGGACACTACCCGGAGCTCGATGAGTGAAATATGCAGGAAGTTGTGCCCCGGGTAAGATAGCATACGCGCAATCTGACTGTAGGATGAGTTTTCTCGCATGCTGATTCAGTTTGAAGCAATTAATAAACTGGAAAGTCGCCTGTGGATAGCGAGAAGAGTGGGAGCCATATAAACTCTCAAGCGATTCACAATTATTTGCCGTTAGCCTGAAAAGAGAGGTAGGGAGCTTTGGCAATGACACAAGATTTCTGCAACTATGGAATATAAGATCCTTTGGTTGAATGGAGGTCCAAATGTCTGGAAGTCTCTGGAAACTGTTACCAGACATGTCTACACTCATGAGAGAAGTACATATCTCATCAGGATGATTCTGCCAGCTTTCTTCAGTTAATGCTTTGCACTGTGAAAAGTCTACTTGCACAAGAAGTTTCAGTTTAGATATGTTTGGTGAGATCTTCTTTAACTTGTTGCAACCAGTCATCGATAGGGTAGCTAGGCCATGCATATTCTCGATCCAACCAGGAACTTCCTCTATCGCAGTTTCATCAAGATAGAGATCTGAAATGCTTCTTGATATTTGTGGGAAACTTCTCAAACGTGAGCATCCACTGAGATTAAGGTAATAGAGAGATTCCAAGTTGATGTCGGTTGGAAGAGCCTCGAGATGTATACAACGTTCCATGTCCAAGTCCTTCAGTTTATGGAGATTCCGAATAGAGGAAGGAAGCTCAGTCAAACTCGAGCAACCGCCAAGATCCAATGTCTCCAGGCTTGTGGCGCGAGTAAGATCTGGGATTTCTCTCAGGTGTAAGGAACCCCGTAGATTCATACATTTGAGACTTTCAAGAGGCTGAACAGAAAAAGAATGGTAAACACATATACCAGAATCTTGTCAATGGTAACAGTAATTTCCAAACTTCTACAAATATCATTCATATATTTGATGAGATCAACAATGGAAAGACAAATGTTCAAAAAAAAAAAAACAATGGAAAGACAAACAAGAAGAAAAACTTAACATGTACCTGACTTCCACTCCATAGTTCTTCAAGCTTGCTAGCCACCACTGTGAGTTCAACGAGATATTTTGGAATGAAGTTAGAAGGCATGCATCTCATTGGAAAGCCCTCCCAGTGCAGTAGTCTGAGTTTATGAGAGAGATAATCAAGGCCATGAGGTATGTGCACCTTAACTTCTTTATCCCCCAAGTTTGAATAGAATTTCAAGAACTGGAGATTAGTCATTTCATTGAAGCCTTTCTCACTTATTAAAAGCTTCTTGACTTCTGACATGTCTAACGATATCCCTTCAACGCTCCTAGTCCCCTGAAAAAGGAGAACCGCGATAGAAACAGGTTATCCTAAGATAGACCAGCATTTATTGATTTAACAAATGACATGAGAATTTAAAACTTACAGTGTTTTCCGCAAGGACTTCACTAATATCCCCGTAATACACCAAAAACTTACGCTTTCCAGGCTCACTAGGGTACTGTTTACGGACGATTTCTCTGCCCAATTGTTGTTGCAAATGGTGCACTGTAATATATCCGTCTTCTGACATATGTATGATAGATTTCTCAGCCAAGACTCTAAGCCTACCCTTAATACCCAAGAAGTAACTTGAAAGCAATCGTGTGAGATATTCAACAGTACCAGGATTAAATAAACATGAGATGCACAAAAATAAATCTTTGTCTTCCTCACATAACCCATCATACCCGAATCTTAATATGCTCTCAATTTCTCCATCCAATCTATATCTGAGCCGAGGCAACTCTTCGGACCACTCTTGTTCGCTCATCCCTCGAAAATAAGAACCACAAACTCTGAGACCCAACGGAAGACTACCAACACTCTCTACAACTGCAGTTGCGAGTTGCATGAAACCATCAGGTGGAGAGTTCTTTCTGAAAGCAACTCGGCATAATATCTGAAGAGCTTCCTTTTTAGATGGTAAATCCACCTTGTAAACATGATTTATCCCATGAGATTTCAGAAGACCTAAATCTTTGGTAGTCACAATAATTCTGCTTCCTGGTCCAGTCCAGTTAATTAGTCCTGCCACGGCATCTAGTACCAATCGATCATCCACACCATCTAGAATGATAAGAACTTTCTGTTCACACAGCATTTCTTTCATCGAACCTATATCCTCTATCGTTATATCCGGTTCATTCCTGATTTCAGATAAAACTAGTTTCTGATAATACAACGTCCCGCTATAATTATCGCTATAACCACACTCGTGCATTCCATTCAAGAAAGGTACGAAAGCTCTACCTTGAAATTTTGAAGCGATCTGATTGTACAAACATCGTGCAATGGTAGTCTTACCAATTCCCAAGGGACCCCAAATTCCGATCATCTTTACTTCTTCAGATTCCAAGTGTAGCAGCGGATTCAGTTTTGCAATATGAGCTTTGATTCCAACCAAACCACCAAAATCAGCCGATGGCTTGCGGTTCAGTTTGTTTGAGACATCAGCCAGGATTTTCTTAATCATCTCTGCTTCATTATCCCTAACAAAGAGAAGGACAATTATTGGACATCTCAATCCAGAGGCGAGAGAGATTTGTGGCATTATTAGTTTATCCATTAACATTCACAGTTGCAGACAATACATACATTTATGTCATATCCAAGAGAATGCAGTTAATAACGACAGAAGAAAACATACCAGTTTATGGTATGGTATCCGGCAATGCTTGTTATGTCGGATAAAGCTTTTCGACATTGCCGTTCCTCATCCTTTGTTTTGCTCTTATAAGTCTGTTTGAAGTGCCTTCCGAATTCACCAGTCTGTTTCTTAACATCACTTGGATCAACATCACAGAAAATTGTCATCACTATCTGACCCAACTCTTCCCTGCACTTTAGAATCTCCACCAATTCGTTCAGGAGCCAGCCTGATGAGGCGAACCTTTTGGACAGCAAAACAATCGATATCCTCGACTCTCTTATCGCTTGTACACGCAGAGGGCTGATCAGCTTGCCACGTCCTATCTCATTGTCTGTAAATGAGCTGATTGGTTTATGTTTGAATGCCACAAGCAGCCGTTTGACGACTTCCCTTGAGCTGTCTTCAACTCTGAAGCAAGGGTAAACATCATATTTCCAATTGCGAGAAGAAGAAGTAAACATCATATTTACTATTGGTTTTTCTTCTTCTCGGCTGAGTGAGTTCTTCTCAAAGTCTTTTCTTAACTGTTTCAAGCTACCAGGCAGTATGGATTGCCTATGGAGAATTTCTTTCCATATTTTTCGCAGCAAAGAATGCATCACTATTTCCCCATTGGACGATACACGTATGAGAGACCTTCTGGTTAATTCCTTGAGCCCAGATCTAACGTCCACGTCGTTGCTAGACAAAAGTGGTGCCACCACATTAACATCCTCATCATGGAACAAACATGCCATGTAAACAAATAAAGCTTTGTATCTCTCCTCTAAACCAGCGTAGCTAACTCTCAATGCTGCTTCACTTTCATTACCTGTAAACCCCCTTGGATCCAAGGACAAAACTGGTGAAATATCCTCAAGACTTGTATTAGCAGTTGGAGCAGTTATTACATAGACTCCACATCTTGTCACCGTGCAGGTATCATCTAGACGCTTCTTCTGCTTGTTGACAGGAAGAAATTCAAATACAACTAAATCAGCAAAGATATCAGGGTCATTTCCTTCATTAGTACTTGGACGCATATTGACATCACAGAAGACAAACATATGATCCTTCTGGATATGTGGAACAACTGTCCTCGGAGCCCAACAATGCAAATTTCTTTCTATCTTATGAGAGTGGCCTTCCTCGTTTTTCCATCTGCAAACACAACTAATGTCAAAACCATTGTCATCATGGTAATCCTCCGAAAATGCAATTTCCACTAGCATAGCAAAACCAAGAAGCGTGCTGCTCCAGGAAGGATTTAGCCATGTCATTACAGAAGATCCTAGTTGAAGAACAAGTGGGGAATCTTGATTCACATGTGAGGGCGCACAGAAGCTGAAAGCCGGAGCTTCATTGAGATCCTGTAGCAACAATGCAAAACAAGATCCAGATACGATATGAGATAAACATGGGTGTGTACACATATCAGGGCAGCGAATATTACCTTCGGAAGCTCTCTCGGTATGCGTTTAACATTACCCAACAGTTTGACTAAAAAATCGCTGACCACTTGTGGAGATAGATTAAAACAATTAGTGAATATGTAGTGCATAGGAAGTTTCTCGGAGTCCAAAGGAATTTTTTTCAGAGAGACACAACCATGTGCATTCAAGAGTTCGAGACTTTGAGGAAGTTGTGGCACTTTTCTTACCGCAGTGCCACTAAGATATAACTCTTTCAGGTTCCGTGGCAAACCCCCGATTGTCTCGAGCTTGGAGCAACCAGAGAGATCAAGAACTGTGAGAAGTTCGAGATTAATCATGTTTGGTAGACTTCGCAAACAAAAACAATCTTTGATCTCCAAGCAAATAAGCTTGCAAGGATATTGGCAAGATGAGCTAGATTTCTTCAGACTTTTTAAACGCTCAAGTTTCAAGGCATCTGACAGGTCATCAAATTCTGCTAGAAGAAGACTCATAAGCTCTTCGCTATTAGGCTTAACAGTAGTGGTAAATGGCAATTCTGTTATGCCAGTTCCCTGGAGATACAGTGTCTCAATATTTGGTGCAACCGCCTGGAATGTTTTGATCTCTTTGCAACCTGAGAGATTTACAGCTAGTAGATGCAGCAATGGATCTGTGGCTTGGAAACTCTGCAGTCTTGTACAGCCTTGGAGATCAATTACCTTGATATTTGGTGCATTTGAAAGATCGCCAATATCAACTAGTTGCTGGGAATGACAAAGCCTAATCGTTTTCAACATCTTCAGGTTCTGAGAAAAAATAAATGCCAAAAGAATAATAAAAAACTCTGCAGAAGTAGTAACAAGGGTGAAAGATCCATTTCAGAGTTTGCTAACCTTGGTTTCACCCCAAAGTTTCTGAAGTTGACTGTACGGCATATTGATTTGAACAAGGTGTCTAGGATCAAAATTTTGAGGCAAGGATTCCAGAGGATAGTTCTCCCAATGGAGGAGTCGTAGCGCATTGGGAAGAGAATGGAGAAAGCCTTTGGAAAATTTGATTACAGGACGGTTTTCAGGACTGGAACAGTATATCTTCAGCAACCGAAGGTTCAACATATTCACAAAGGCAGCAGGCTTGATATCTAAATTTAAGTATAATGTGTCCAAAAACATGCATTCGATCTCTTCAGTTCCCTGAAATAATATTGAAAATGGAAATATCAGAGAACGTTGGCCCATAAAGTAGGTTAACTATCAAAATATTACACACCTGAGTACGTTCACCCTCCTCTAATAAATATTTGATGATATCAGGTTCCCACATTCTGCTGTGTCTTTCAGTTTGTACTGTTTCTCCAAGTATTAATTTTCGGCCAACATCTTGGGTCAAATTATGCATCCACATTCGATTTTCCGAAACAATGACCAGACACTTGTCAACAAGAACATCGATTCCAACATGTGGAAAGAAACCACAACCATCAAGCAGTTGCATCACATAGTCAACATATTCTCCCTGGAAGAAACAAGCTATGTCCAGAAAAATGTTCTTTTCACTGTCACTGAGTGTATCATAGCTTCTCTTGAATGCATCAAGAATCTCAAAAGGAGGATGTTGCTTTAGTTGCTTTAGTTTGAGCAACGCAGACTCCATTTCGAACAGATTTTTTGTAATGACTTCAAAGAAGGTTTCATTGAAGTGATTCAGACTATTCACGTGTTGCCACGTGTTGGTCCTCTGTCCCTGGCGATGCCGAAATGTTAATTCCCCAGCTGTAAGCCCTTTACCACTAGAGCTAGAAGTCCCAGTTGACAGATTTTTAATACCATTGAGCTCTCTAGCAAAAACACTGAGAGCTAATGGATTTCCATTAGCATATTGAACCACTTTCATTGACAGCTCATTCATATTCTGCTCTGTAATATTCTTTATAGACGCACACGAGCAGAATAATTGTAGAGCCTCTTTCTCATTTAGCCCTTGAACCTCGTATATGTGATTGATTCGGCAAAGTTGAAACACCTGTTTATCCCTAGAGGTTATGATGATCAGGCTTTCAGGACCGAACTCAAACCCGTCGAGAAAAGACTCTGCGACCCGAGGGTCACCCACGCCATCGAGAACAACAAGGATTCTGTTGCTGCTTAATTTTTCTATAAGCAAACTTGCTTTTTTCATGGTGCCGCTAGTGCCAGGATGTTCTTTCAAAAGCTGTTCCTCCAGCAACCGATAAAGCCCCTTTTCACCAATAGCTTTCTCACAATCTTCAATGAAACAAGAAGCATCAAAGTAGGTACACATTTGCTGAAAGACGGCTTTAGCAAGTGTCGTCTTGCCTATGCCAGGCATACCCCAAACTCCAACAAGGCGTGTCCCCAGGGGTTGCTTGCAAACCATTGTTTCAATCTCTAGGAGCTTCGAGTAGATTCCAATTCGTCCCATAGGAAAGAGCTTCTCGTACACATCTCTCACAATCTCTTCTACAAGTATGGAGTCACTAAATTCCTCCCTGCGCAGGTCAATTAATAAACAAAATTTACATGATGGGAACATCTGGAGCTAGGGCTGGGCATTTTAACCTACACCAAACCCGTATCCGTCCCAAAAATCCGAGCCCAAAAAGTAAAATATCCAAATAGTGTTGAGTTAGGAGAGACATGTTGCACAAAAGTTAGATCCAAAATCTCAAAACAAGAACCAGAGTCTATTTTCAAAAATTTATCTCCAAACCTATTAATGGTATCAGATTTACTAAAAAAATAGAAAATCAGTTAAATTATTAATAAAACTTTAAGCATATAAAACTTGATTAATGAAGAATTTGATTTTTTTTTTTAAATCTAAATATCCAAACCGAACTAAAAATCAAAATTTTGGAACTAAGAAATCAAATTTGACCTAGATTGGTGGAGTGGTGATAAGTCTATCAAACCCAGCTCGGTAAGCCATTCGCCCTGTAATGGGATGTCGCCGTACAACACTGGAACCACCACCTGCTCGCTGTTCCTCCGGTACTCGAGAACCTTGCCAAATTTATCACGGCATATCGAGGTAGGCTCGGAGTTTCCGGGTAAAACAAGCAAAGAAACCTTAGCTTTCTCAACTTTCGCCTGGGAATCTAACAGATCGTCGCTATCTACTTCCACGATCACATCATTTATGCCTTTCCTCCGGAGAGCTTCGGAGAGGTGGCTCACAAAGGAATACCGAACCTCTTCTAAGCAGCTGATGCAGACGAATTGCTCATCCTTCTCGAAATCGGTCATGGTTTCGCGCCTTAACACCGGGAACAAGTCTTGGGTTTTTTTTGCTGGAATTTATCTTTACATGGTTCTTGTGGTAAAGGATTGGTTTTCCGCACTCCATCAGTCGGGAGAATAACTCCAAATATCCTTGTCACTCATAAAAAATTCACAATTCTCCCACCAATAAAATATGCTTTCTTTTATCTTTATTTTTAACTACGAAATTATGTTAAATACATCTATAACACTAAAAAAATCAGATAATTACATGATCCAACCAAATAAATCCGGACTCATCTCCTCCCCTTCTTTGGTGATTCTGAAACCCTAGCCTTCGCCGCCTGCGTTCGTCCTCCATTGACATCGAGAATCCATCAATCTCTCCCTCTCCCTCGTGTCTTAACTTTCTTTTTCTCTCTATTTAAGAATTAAACCCGAAACCCTAGATCGAGATCCGCTTCGTTTCTTCTTCTCTCCACCGAATTGACTCTCCATATTTGTTTCTTCTGGTAAGTGATTAGTTTCCCTTTGTTTAATTGTTATTAGGTTGTTTTGTTAGTAGATTTGAAAAATAAATTGGGGATAATTTGTAAGTTGTAGAAGAAATTAAGGTAGTGTCCTAATAAGCAAGATTGTGGTTTGAAATTCGGGAAGACATGGTGAAATATTAGATTTGGTATAAGTTTGAACAGAAACATAGAAAAGTAGCGATTTTTATGGAGTTGGTTATTGACTCTTTGAACAGAAACTTAAAAATTTGTGGGTCTTTTCTTATTGGATATGAAACCGAAATGGTGATTGACTCTTTGAATGGTAGGATAAATGTAAACAGAAATATAGTTGGTGATTTATTGAGTGAATGAATGGTTTGAGATTAGACAAAGAATAATTCTGGGTTTTGCCTAACTGTGTATTGTTGTCGTTGTTTTTGGATGTTAATAGGAAATATATAATGGCAGGTAAGGGTGGAGGAAAAAAATGTCTAAAAAGAAAAGTGGGAAAACCACAAAAGCTCGAAAATCTGATGTTGCTGTTGTTGAAGATCATGTGGAATAACTATTAGAAGGGAACAATAGTGATACTCTGCGTGAACCCATCTCTAAGGTATAACATTCTTTTGTTTTATAGTAATAAAGTTCACTGTTTGTGTGTGTTGAATTAATTATCACTGCTGTGTATTAGGGAATGAAGGCCAAAAAAGAAGGCGTTCATCTACCGGAGTTTCCAGTAGAACTGCAGCTAGAAAGGTGGTGTCAAATGGGAATGAACCGGTAGAAGAATATGCAGTCCAGCAAGAGAGTAATCTAGTGAGAGGAACGACTGTAGTTTCGCTCTCACTTGATACCGAAATGTGCAGTAGAAGAAGCTTAAAACAAAGGCTTAAACTTATCTATTAATTAAATATTTAGTATGTTTCTTGAATGTTATGTTTCTGCTTTTGGATGTTATGTATTTACTTTTGGATGTTAGTTATTAGAAATTTAAGTAAAGTTGTTACTATGTGTTGAAAAATAGGTATGGATAACTCTATTTACAAGTTAACTTATGTTAAAAATGAGTTAAATGGAAAACTGGTTTTACTATTAGGTTTACTAAGTCTAAAAATCACTTGTCAAAAAATTAAAAAGTTGCTCATGTAAAATACACATGTTAAAAGTGAGTTAAGTAATAATTTAAAAAATGAATATGTAAAACGTGCTACCATTATATACATAAATATAATATTTGGATCACACATAGCAATTCTTGGTAAACTTCAAGAAGTTAGTAATACTACCTTATACATAGTAATATTTTGGCAAATTTTAGGTTTATTTAGTAAAACCATTAGAAAAAGAGATTTTTTCTAGTAAAACCAAAGCTTTTACACTATTATTATCCTTACCTAATATATTTTCGGCAAAAATTTGTCAGGAATACGTATTTTTATAGATTCTTCTTCCTATAGCCGTATGATTCACATAATAATCATGAAAGTTAAGGAATCATTTTGAGAAAATGAGAAATATTCCTAAAACTATATAAAAAAACTAAATAGTTTTAAAGTGTTATTTACTATATACATAGTCTACTAATATATAATATATAGGTTACATATGTTAAATTTACGCACTACTTGCAATATATAGAGGTTTCAAATTACACATAATAAAACCAAGCAATCTTAGTAATTCGAATTATACATAATAATTCTAGTAATACAAATAGTCTGAATTACATATAATAAACCCAGTAATCCTAGTAGTCCGATTACACACAATAAATCCAATAATCCTAGTAATTCGATTACACACAATACGACTTAATCATTTTTGTAGGACGATGTTGTTCGGTTTAAACCACTACTACCATATTCACTGACCATATTAAACCACTACTATCGTATCCGCTGACCATAATGAGGTCCCACTATACTTCAAAATGAAATAAAATAAACTTCATGGTTTTAAAATTTAATTTCAATGTCTACAAAGTTTCTTTAAGTCTTACATTATTTACATTACCAAAGATATACAATTCATTTTAATTATATTCAGATAAAACTTCTGCGGAAACAAACATAAAAACCTAAAATCTAGTAAAATCAATATTAAAATTTTCTTTTAAAACTTTCGAAATTCTCAATAAATCTTATATTATTTATATTACCCAAGATTTACAGTTTGTTTTAATGATATTCTAGGTAATTGTTTTTTTAAACATATATAATAAATTTTAATCCCAGAAAAACAGTTTTAAAACTCGTTTTCAATCTTCAGAAATTCTTAGTAAAACTTACATTATTTACATTACCCAAGATGTATAGTTTATTTTAATGATATTCTAGATAATTTTTTTACAAAATGGATATAATAAATCTAAAACCCAGAAAACAGTTTTAAACTTGTTTTCGATCTTTCGAAGATCTCACTAAATCTTACATTATTTACATTACCCAAAATGTAGAGTCCATTTTAGTGATATTCTGATGATTTATTTTAAGAAACAGATATAATAAATCTAAAACCTAAAAAAAAAAAAAGTTTTAAAACTTGTTTTTAATCTCCCAAAATTCTCTAAAATTTTTTTATTATTTACATTATTTTTAATATACGTAGAATTTTATAGCTATTTTAAAACTTCACCAGGAATGATATTGGTTACGTTGGGCTCGTGAAATTCTCAGAATGAATCTATTCATCTTCACAAGTTTACCAAATAAAAAGTGAGACGTGTTCACTTTTACAGTCACATGTAGTTTTTTTTTTGCCAACAAATTGCGCTGGTTGCTTGCAAGGATGAAATGGGTATTATATATAAAATACACGCAGTGTATGGGTGAACTAGGGATTTTGTTCAGGGAGTGAATTATAAAATGTTTGAAGGCTATTGAGTGCAATTTTCCATGTTTTTACTGTCAATCGGCTTAAAAAAAGGATAAAACCGGATGAAAACGAAAAAAAATGCTAGAAAATCTAATAATGTCAACATCAATGCTATATTCTTAATTTTTTCTCAAAATTGGCTATTACACAAATTAACCCTTGAGAAAATTATCATTTTTAAATATTTAAGAACATTTATATACTCAACCCCAACTCCTTAATTCTAAATCTTAAATAATAATCAATAAAGCATAAACTCAAATATAAATATAGTTTTCATTGATGATAAAAATGATACTTGACTTATGGTATTTCTAATAATTTCTCAAAACAAGTTCAATTATCATTTTAAATATCATCTTTTAGATCAAATAAAATAAATCTTAACTTTTCATTGACCAAACGATTATAAATCTATTAGTAAATTTTTAAAGGATGTAAAATGATTTAGTCAGCAAAAGTTTAAAACTTTATTAATTTTAATTTAGAAACTGAACACTAAAATGGCTTACCCAAATTTAACCTTTTGTGTTTTTTAAAATAAATACTAAATATAAATGTAATATAACTATCTTATTATATAAATATAAATGTAATATAACTATTTGCTAGGCTTGCAGCTCATGGGAACCAAATTGTTCCATGGGATAAATATGAAGCCAGAAGTTATGAAAATTATTCAATGAAAGCATCAGATTAAGTTTCTTTTTGGTTCGTGCTGTTAAAGTTGCATCTTAGTTTTTTTTTTTAAGTTATCAACTAACAATATTTAATTGTTACTTAATGTTTCATAAAAGTATATCAAAAAATTTTAGATAGGAAAAATTTACAAAATAACCCTCAATTTTCGAAAATAAGCCAAAAAAATTTCCAACTCACAAACAAGCCATTTTAACTTTCAACTTCTAGTCAAACACGAATAAATTCCATATTTTTGTTGACCAAACCATTTTATTTTCGTCAAATTTGAACCGTTTAGTTCTGTTAGTTATATTTAACGGTTGATTTTTAATGAACCTAAAATGGCTTGGTCAACGAAAGAATGAGATTTTTTTATCCTAATTTGAAAGTTGCAGATTAAAATTGCTTACTTAAAAATATCTTAACTAAATTTTTTATGACATAAAAATGTAAGTTTTCATATCGATTATAATCACTAACTTAATAAAATATGTTCAAATAAGTTTAGATATAATATTTAAAAATGAATTAAAAACAAAAACAATTTATACATCACGCATTTGACTTCCTTCTTTTGACTTGTTTCATCCTCTATTGAGTATATATGATTATACTTCTAACAACAATGTGTTTAGGGTTTTACCTTTAACTTTTATGTTTTTATTCTTAAAATTGTTTTGAACATAAGCACTTAATTATTTTATTTTATATCTGAATTTACAGTATAATTTTATTTTTAATCAAGTTTTTTTACTAAACAATTTTTTTTTTGTTTTTAATTCATTTCATATTATTATATCTAAACTTATTTGAACAAATTTTATTAAGTTAGTCCTTCTAATCGATATGAAAAACTACAATTTTTGTTGAAAAAAAAGAAAATAGCATTTTTTAGTTAAGATATTGTTAAGTGAACAATTTTAGTCATCAACTTTTAAATTAAAATAAAAAAATCACATACTTTCGTTGATCAAGCCACTTTATGCTCATTAAAAGTCAACCGTTAAATATATATCTAACTGAACTAGAACTTGAAGATTAAAATGGCGTATTTGTGAGTTGAATATTTTTTTGGCTTATTTTTGAAAGTTGAAGATTATTTTGTCAATTTTCTCATTTTAAAGATATAAAAATCCATCTTTTATCAAACAAAAAAAAAAGAGGAAGTTGAGAAAATTACTTTATATTTAAAACAATTTTGATCACAGATTTTAGATATTTTGAGGAGCCATAAAGGACCTCCATAGTGAGACAATTATTAACTGAAAACAAAATAAAAGAAGAAGAATATTCAAATGCATAGCTGTTTAGTTAACTTTGTATTAATCACACCGGAAACATTTTCGTCGCCATGGCAGCATCCTCTAACCCCACGGTCAATGAACAACCACCGCAACATCAGGTGTTCATCAATTTCCGAGGGGCCGATTTGCGCAGGAGATTCGTCAGCCATCTAGTCACTGCCTTGAAACAGAACAACATTAACGTCTTTATCGACGACTACGAAGACAGAGGTCAACCTCTGGAAACATTAATGCTGAGAATAGAGGAGTCCAAAATCGCCCTGGCTATCTTCTCCTGGAAGTATACCGACTCAGTCTGGTGCGTCAGAGAGCTGGCGAAGATCAAGGCCTGTACGGACGAAGGAACACTAGTGGCTATTCCCATCTTCTACAAGCTGGAGCCATCCACCGTGAGAGATTTGAAGGAAAGTTTTGGTGATAGATTCAGGAGTCTAGCTAAGGGTGATGATAGGAAGAAGGAGTGGGAGGAAGCTTTTAGTTCGATTTCTAATATAATGGGCATCACCATTGACAAGAAAAGGTACTGAAACTAGACACCTATTGATTAATATTGCAGAACGGAACTTATAGAGGTTAGTATTTTTGTGAAAACTTGAGAAAGCAAAAAAAAAAAGAGCAAAACACAGCAAATACCTCAAATACCCGTTAAAGATTTGTATATTGTATGAATAAATAACTTTATGATTCTTTAGATGCATATTTATATCAACCTCAAAATCCAATTTCTTTTTATCTATAGAAATTCATATTTATCTAGAAAAAATAAAATTTTCTAAATAAAAAATGCATACAGTCCAATTTTTTTTTATCTATAGAAATTCATACTTATCTAGAAAAAATAAATTTTCCTAAATAAAAAATGCATACCACATGCCTAGATGACAACAACAGTATGGAACAATAGTATTTTACTTAAGAGTGTAGAGAGCTATAAAGTAAAATTGAACAGTATTTTAACTGTATGCTTTTACTAGTATGCATTAATAGTAGGGTCGGAGCTGAGTTTTGGGGACTTAAAACATTTCTTTAGAACTTTAAAAATTTTGGAGGCCAAGGTTAATGTTTAAAGGCTTATTTCTAAGTTAAATTTTTCTAAAAATTTTGAGGTCCAAAGCGAATGTTTCGATCGAATGTGTCCAAATCCGTCCCTGATTAACAGTATGCTTTTACTAGTATCCATTAACAGTATGCTTTTACTAGTATGCATTAACAATATGCTTTTACTAGTACATAACAGTATTTTAACCGTGTATTAACAATATACTTTTACTAGTACTTAACAGTAGAGCTATAAAGTAAATTAAAGTAAATTTTACTTTATTGAGCTATAAAATAAAATTTAACAGTATGCTTTTACTTTAGTACATAGAAATTTAAGACACATTCAGATGCAACAACAACAGTATTTTTACTTAACAGTGTGGAGAGCAATAAAGTCATCGAAATTGTGAAGGCGGTTAAGACAGTGCTGAACAACGTTTCATCAGAGGGAAGCAGGAGTGTCTCCGTGAATCCTTCGGAAAATATCAATGCAGGGACTTCCTCAGGAGGCGAGAAGCATAAGACTTTTGGAATGGACAAACGCCTGAAGGAGTTGGAAGAGAAGTTGGATCGTGACAAGTACGAGGGAACTCGTGTCATTGGAGTTGTTGGGATGCCGGGAATCGGCAAAACCACACTCCTTAAAGCGCTTTATAAGACGTGGCAGCGCAGGTTTTCGAGGTACGTATTACTCGATAAAATCCATGAAAAGATCAAGCACGTGGAGGAGTTGGAATGCTTGCCTAATATGCTTGTAGCGGAGCTATTCAAGTCGAACAATACGCACATAGACCATGTCAAAGATCCTTACAGTCAACTGCAAGAACGCAAAGTTCTTGTCGTTCTTGATGATGTTACTAAAAAGGAACATATAGATGCTCTGCGTGGGATGGTTCAGTGGATTAAGGAGGGTATTGAGGGAAGCAGGGTTGTCATTGCTACAAGTGACATGTCCTTGATAAATGATTTGGTTGATGATACTTACATGGTCCAAAATTTGAACCACAAAGATAGCTCACAACTCTTTCACTATCATGCCTTTGGTGATGATCAAGGCTATCCTCCCAATGAAGATTTCATGAAGTTGTCAGAAAAGTTTGTACACTATGCAAGAGGTCATCCACGAGCTCTCAAAATGTTGGGTGTAGAGCTTTACAAGAAAAAAATGGATCACTGGAGATCGAAACTGAAGATACTCGCAGAAAGTCACAGTCCCACTAAGATTGGAAGTGTCTTCAAAGTGAGTTATGATGAGTTGTGCTCTGAGCAGAAAGATGCATTTCTTGACATAGCCTGTTTTAGATCTGAGGAGGTGGGTTATGTAGAGAGTTTACTAGCTTCATCAGACCCCAGATCTGCTGAAGCGATGAGTCCAGTAAAAGCTCTCACAAACAAGTTCCTGATTACCACTTGCGACGGCCTAGTGGGGATGCATGATCTACTGTATACTTATTCAAGGGAACTTGATTATAACGCATGCACTCAGTATGGTAGCAGACAACGGAGGCTGTGGCTCCATCAAGACATGGTTAATGGATGCATAACTAACTTGCTGCAGAGAACAATGGTGAGACTAATAACCAGAAATAAAATGGAAGTCTGCTAAAACCTCCAAAATGCATTCTCATAACTAATGTTATATCTGTTTATTTTTTGTTATTGGTTACTAGGGAGCTGTCAATGTGAGAGGTATTTTCCTGGACTTGTGTGAAGTGAAAGGCGAGATGAGCTTGGACAAAGATTACTTCATGAAGATGGGTAATCTCCGGTATCTCAAGTTCTACAATTCTCACTGTCCTCAGGAATGTGAAACAAACAATAAGATAAACATCCCTGATGGACTTAAGTTACCACTGAAAGAGATCCGATGCTTCCACTGGCTAAAATTTCCATTGGAGGAACTTCCAAATGATTTCAACCCCATTAATCTTGTTGATCTTAAGTTGCCTTATAGTGAGATTCAACGACTTTGGGAGGATGATAAGGTGTGTATGATAGCTTTTATGAATGATTTATTTATTTATTTTACGGGTGACTAATATTTTCTTGTTACAGGATGTACCATCCTTAAAGTGGGTCGATCTCAATCACTCAAGTAAGTTGTGCAGCTTGTCAGAGTTATCAAAGGCTCAAAATCTTCAGAGATTGAACCTTGAAGGCTGCACAGCACTGAAACTGTTGCCAAGTGATATACAATACATGAGAAAGCTTGCGTTCTTGAATCTGAAAGGGTGCACGAGTCTTGAATCTCTTCCTGAGATGAATTTAATTTCTCTGAAAACTCTTACTCTAAGCGGCTGCTCAAATTTTAAGGAGTTTCCTCTAGTTTCAGAAAATATTGAAACTCTATACTTAGATGGCACAGCAATAAGTGAGCTTCCTACGAACTTTGAGAAGCTCCAGAGACTTGTTGTATTGAATATGAAGAACTGCGAAATGCTGAAGGAAATCCCAGACCGGGTTGGTGAGCTGAAAGCCCTTCAAGAACTGATACTCTCTGATTGCTTAAATCTCAAGTATTTTCCAGAAGTCAAGATGAGCTCTTTACACATTTTGCTTTTGGATGGGACAGCCATAGAAGTGATGCCACAATTATCCTCAGTGCATTACTTGTGCTTAAGCAGAAACGACAAGATCACCTGTCTTCCTGCTGGTATCTGTAAACTATTTCAACTAAAGTGGCTGGATTTGAAGTACTGTACGAGTCTTGCATCTGTTCCAGAGTTGCCACCAAATCTTCAGTGCTTAGATGCACATGGGTGTAGTTCGCTAAAGACAGTTTCGAAGCCTCTGGCCCGTATCATGCCAACGGAGCAGAATCATTCCACATTCATTTTCACCAACTGTAAGAACCTGGAACAAGCTGCAAAGGAAGAAATCAGCTCGTATGCTCAAAGGAAATGTCAGCTGCTGTCATATGCTCGTACACGCTACAATGGGGTATTTGTCTATCTGTGTATCTATCTATCTATTTATCTATGTTCGTACACGCTCCAAAATTATTGTTTATGATTCTCCTTTTTTATAATCTTGCAGGGTCTTGTTTCAGAGGCTTTGTTCAGCACTTCCTTTCCTGGATGCGAAGTGCCTTCATGGTTTTGTTATGAAACAGTTGGATCCGAGCTAGAAGTAAAACTCCTTCCACATTGGCATGACAAGAGGCTGGCTGGAATAGCTCTATGTGCTGTAGTGTCATTTGGCGACTGCCATGATCAAATCAGCCGCTTGTCAGTGACATGCAACTTTAAAGTAAAAGTTGAAGACGAGTCTTGGATCCCATTTACTTGCCCAGTAGGAAGTTGGACCAGGCAGGGAGACAAGATTGAATCAGAGCATGTCTTTATTGGCTACACCAGATAAATTTACTGATAAATGCAGTTCTACTGACGCATCCCTTGAATTTACTGTGGCAGGTGGTACAAATGAGAAGGGTGAATTCACGGTGTTGAAGTGTGGTTTAGGTTTGGTGTATGCCAAGGATAAAAGCAAAAACAGTTCTCATGAAGCAAAGTACGATATGCCTGTAGAAAAAAGGGTTGCTGATGGACGGCCAAAGAACAATCAAAAATCAAGAATGGATAATAATGATATCCCATGTCAATCCAACAGGGATGCAAATGCTAGTGTAACTCCAATTAAGAGATATACTTCAGGTGTCAGGCACACGGTTGAGAAGGGTACAAATGACATTGGCGAATCTTATCGTTCTCTGAACCCTTTGCATCTTCAGAGTAAGCAGATCAAAAGCAAAAAGGGATACCGAAGATAAGGACCAGAGCTTACCCAGATTCAGTGACCTGTCAGCCGTCATTTTATCCTGCTTTGGAGTTGTGTTCACGAAAGCCTGTCAAGTTAGTACAAAGGTTATGCTGCTGTTTCTTGTTCAAGTTCATTTCTGGTTATTGGTTCGATATATTTTCGGGTGTTTGTGACCCTACTATTTAAGCACTCTGTAAAACTCTTTTGAAGATTGAATGAAAAAATCTTTCTTACGGTTATCTACTAATAATAGCAATCCTCATTAATTCCAAAGGTTGTGAATCTTCATTATATTGAAATTTTTTATCTTTTTAATATTTTAACTTTATTTTGAAACAATCTTATATATTAAAATAGAAGTCACAACTTCTCTTCATCTGTGATATTTTTAAAAATGGATCATTCCTAGAAAGTAATATTTCATATATATCTTAGTAACATTTTATTTGACTTAGTTACAAAATCTTTTGATATCTTTTCTTTTATTTCAAATAAAATATATATTTTAAAAAGAATTCTAACAAAATATTTTAGAATCTTTTATAAACATTAAACATATGAATAATAATATATACCAATAATGATGTAAATAAATATATATATATACATATTTATAAACGAAATTAAACACCCGCTCGGTTGAGCGGGTCAAAATCTAGTGTATCCATTAAAAAGTAAGTTATTTTGAAAGAATGTGTCTATTCATAATTTTTAATATTTTAATAGTTTTGATACAATATGTCTGTTCAAAAGTTAGTTAATTTGAAAGAATGTGTTTATTCAAAGATATATATATATTTTCTTAAAAGAGGTATCTATTCGAATCTATATATATAAAGTATAGTTATCTCCCTCTTGGGAGAGCCACGTCAGTAAATAGTGTGATTAGAACATGACACGTGTTCTCTCCAAACCAAATGTCGCTGGTTTCTTTACGATGTAAGTGGGCTTTCTCCTAAGCTCTTACTGGACTCTTTCTTTTTAATTTAGTTTAGTGATAATTGCAATAAGAGCCCGATAGATAGAGATTGATATCTTCTTCTTCTAAGGGCGATACATATAATTAGGGCTCCTCTTCTTCGATAACTCATGATCTGCAACAACAATGGAGTTTTAGGTTGTTGAGTGATACGATTCGTAGTGAATAATCCGTGAAAATTTTCTATTGCGTCGTTTTATCGTTCTAATCCAACGAAACGTTACGAGGTCTTCATTCATTACCTTTTACAAATTTTTTAACTCTATTCACTCAGGTTAACCACGATTTCACATTAAATGCTACCTTTCCCTTTGTTAGGCGGTGTATCTAGACCTATAAAAAGGTCATTCTTCATCCTCTCAAATCGTGATATCCACAGAAATCTTATCTTTAGTATTTGATGATCGGCCGCTGTTCTTCCACCAGTGTGTTTTCTCAGATCCTGGGAAGCTGCTCCTCCTGGATGCCACAGTTATTTTTTTTTCTTTAAATTCATGATCATTTAGTGTTAAACTATTTCCGCTTAGAAACTCATGATTTTAAAATTTTTAATTCATATTTTTATTGAACATCGAACTATTGAAGCTGTTTATTGACTATGATTTCTTCTTCACATGATTTACAAATGACCCTCATCCCAGCCGCCGTGAATGTACACACCGTATTTCCAACTACAAGCCTCTGCTCAAGGCAGGATCAATGTATTCCCTTAGCGCATTTGATAATCACAGCGAGATGCTTGGATAAGATATTTAATGTTTACTCTCACAGACATTATTGGTGAGCTCACCCGCTGTTAAAATTACCGTGAGCAACCTTCCAGAAGATAAAAACCGTGTGATGACAACCAGTAATTTGATATGTGGCTCACTATTTCATACTAAGCCCTCCAATTTTTTACATTTTCATGACAAATGTTCTTGATAATTACACGTTGATCACTTTGGTATCTGTGACGTTGAGATTGTTCTACTCACAAGCTGTACCGTTTCACAACCAGCTTAAAGCCATAGGTGGTGATCCAAGGGTTGTTGACACAACAAGCATATTCCCAAAAATTGTTGAAGGTATTTACGTATTCTTGGAATTTGACAGTCTACTATATAGCTTTAATAGTTTTGAGTCATGCATGTTTATAACTCTGTATGTCATTCTGATATTATAAGAATGTAGAAGATTGAGTTTATTAGCACCGGGAAGGTCACCGGCATCAAGACAGACAATGGGTGGTGTTAAGTCTCTTCCTCCAAGTGTACTAAGAGCTTCGACGGACTGTGTCAGCATTTACTTGCGTGACTTGCAGCAATACTAATGATGTTGGTTTCCTCTGGTATATAGCACCTTATAACATGTTATCTTAATTTAATTGCACTGAATGTGACTTCTACCTTTGATACATTTTATTTGACTTCTACCTATCGGATGGAGATGACCATTGCTGATGATACTGCTGAAGGTCTATTCGTTGGTTTTGATTGCGGTTAATGACGAAACTCTATACCATCAGAGCCTATGAAGCTGGACATCTGTTGGTACGTGACTATTCTATTGCATATCATCAACCACCAGTTTTCTCTGCTTATGCTCTAATACACTTACAATCAACACTTGGTCTCTTAGGAATGAAAGGGTGTGAACCCGGAAGAGACGCAGCTTTTCCCCTTTCAGGGTAGGGCTAGCAAGTACAATTTCACTGCCAATCATCAGACGTTCACAATCTCACGCACCTGAACGAAGGTGACCGTTTGCCATTCCCTGACTTTGTTGCCGGTGTAAGCTTGGTCCATATTCATTCTGCTTCCTTCCTTAGAATGAAAATAATTATAAATTATTAGGTTTGATTAGGATGGAAACAATGAAAATTGAGATGAAATGCCTGGTGGCAACCCAGTCTCTGCTAAGTTGGCTGTTGGCTGTAGCAGTCTTCAGTAAAGAGCGACTACATGAGAAGCTCCAAGTGGCCCCGACACTAAGAAGCCTTCAGAAGGAGCATCCTCCAAGATGGCCAAAAAATCACACATGGCATAGGTTAAGATATTGAAGCTCTGGATGCAGTATTTCTTATTTGGGTATGCTCTGTTTCGTTCAGGATATCTTCAAACAATATGTTTAGGCTTATAAATTGATATATTTATCATATGTCATTTACTTACTACGCTTCCGTTTATATAAGCAGCACTCAAATCAATCTTACAGAAAATGTTCAACAATTAAATAACTGTAAACCAAATGAATATGTGTGCAAACTGATTTAAGAACATGACTAAGTTTAAATAAGTTGATCTTTAATTTTTATCAATTGGCATATGTAGAATGTGATTTGGGATGTAGTTCCAAAATCATAATGTACCTCAGGGAATAAAAAATTTCATTTAAATACCACTGTAAGGCAAAATGGTTAACTATACAATAACTTAGAAAAATTTCATTCCAAAATTTTCGAATATTTGTGAATATTCTCTGTTTTCGTTTTTACTTTTGTTTTATTTTTTTGGCTTATGGCTAATTAGCATTATTACCGACTAATTTCGCTGACTATTCACCACGTGTCAGCTATTTTGCATTTTTTTAGATGCAGTGATCGTATATAGTAAATTGTTAATATATAATAAATATAGTTTATTTACTAAAAACTGATCAGTATAGTTTGTTATGCTATAAAAGCATATACAAAATTCAAACAAACAAACATACATCTTTCTAAGAATTTAAATATATTTTCTTATAATGAATCAGCTATATTCATTTTTAGGATCATACATATTCAAGAAATAAATATTACAAAAGAATGATCAATGTTTTAAAAATGTATAAAATAAAAGAAAAAAATCAAGAAATAAATATTACAGAATAATGATCTATGTTTTCTATTAAATTCCTTTAATTAGGGTTTTAAACAATTACATTTCACTCATTTTCAAAATCAAATTAAAAAAATATCAGGAATAAAATAAAATAGTTATCTTTTCACAAATTTGTTTAATCGTGAAATAAATATGTAACTTACAAATCAATAATAAAACAAAAAATGAAAGTTGTTATAGAAAAAAAAATCAAAATTTAATGTAACATATAATTGAAATACAATTAAACATTAACAAAAAAAATTATTATGGTAAAATCTATATATATAAAGTTGTGTTTCTTCCCTTCTGATTGAGACACGTCAACAACCACGTCACAAAGTCGGTTTATGTAAACATGACATGTGTCCCAGTCAAATGAAACTCACCGTTTCATTTACTCTATAATTGAATGAGTTTTATTTGGGCTTAAACAGAACTTAATATTGGCTGACAAAAAAAAAATGGAAATTCTTCTCCGACGACATTCGAGACTCCACCTCCACAAGGGTCTGAGATACTGCATGCAACCACTTACTCCAACAGCGAAGAGAAGCGACAGATCGGAGAGAAGTAAACTTCCGGGAACCGCCACCCTAAAGAAGTAGATCCGCCGACACCATCACCATCTATAACAACCGAACAAGCTTCCGCCTCGATGACTAACACTCAGTCTCCGGTAAGTCTCTCTGTCGTCCTCTAAACAGACAGCACTTTCCATTGACTGACAAGCCACCAGAGTTTGAAGCTCTCCTAGGGAACCTCCACTATAAAAAAACTCAATATACTTTTGATGCTGGAAGGAGCTACAGTATTGGGGCCGTGAGAGAAATGCCAACGGTGGTGACCAGAAGAAATGAAGGTGCTCACTTGCTAATATAGTGAAACTAAACATCATTGGTAGTGATGTATAGTTGTCCATGTTTGTCTCCAAGAAATCAGATATGAGAAGGAAAACAAAATTAAGTTAGAAGATAGAAAAAACAAAGACAAGAAAATGAATATGTGGGAAAGAAAAAAAGGCAAAGATCTCATAAGTTAATGTAATTATCGGCTTTAAAAGAAAATGATTTATGACCGATGAAGGAAAAAGAAACAAAAAATATATAAAAAAGAACTAAGTAAATATTGAAGTGTGAGAAAAGATTTGAAAAAAGTTAAGAAAATATCATAAGAAACTGAAAAAAAGAAAAAATTGCAGGAAAAGAGTCAAATAGGAAGTAAGGAAGACGATCGCTTAATGAATAAATCTATCATTTTTTTCCCTAAAATCTAACATAAAATCACTTTATGACAATTCTTATATAGAAGTAATACATTTTTATAAGTTTTTCATTAAATTAATTATTCTATGAAAACGGACTAGATGTCGTCTTGCACCTATGAGTCTTGCACTATGAGACGACACGTTGTTTTCTATATCAAAGGATTGTTGAACCTATACAAATAGCATTGAATACTGTCTCGGTGACCAAAAAAATGTCGGTTACTAACATATACAATTTTTTTTAATTAACACATACAAATGGTTACTAATATTTTTAATATATTTTCTTACCATTATAAATTTTATAAACAGTATATTTAAGATCTATAAATTTATGAATGTTTTCATTATGTTTTTCTTAAGTCAAAATAATGAAAAAGTAATTATATAATCTTTTTTCAAACAAAAAAAACACTGTTAAAAAGAGTAATATCATTATCTTCATAAGCTAACCAGCGACCTAACGAATTATTGGAAACACTAAAAAAATTTGAAAATATGCGGACATAAATTATTTATATTATTTATGTATAATAATTTATATATACGTATAATAAACTGTTGCATGTATACTTTTTACGAGCATTAATGGTACTTAGTTGGGTTTCAACAAAATTGAATATCATAACTGATTTGGACTTAGGTCAAGTTAGATATCATCACTGAAGATTAAGAAAGTAATTGTAAGCATTACGCGTTATAAATCAAATGATTATTTTTTCGAACTCTAGGCATGCCACTCCAACATAAAATACAATCAAATCAGTTTAATTTACCGAGTTCGTCCACCATTTCAAGTTAAACAACAAAAAAGTAAGTTAAAATAAACTGAACAAAATATCCAATTACTAAGAACCAAACTAAATTAGATCCAAAAATATAACAAACTCAAACTGAAGATGGTACACATATAATGCCACAAATATATGATCAAAGTGTTTAAAAAGAAACATGCCCTCACAACATATCAATATCACATCTCTTTCGTATAGAAATAACTATTGTTAACAAGTAAAATATATCTTATCACATGTAATCTCCAAAATATGTAATCCTAGAACCTTCTAAAATACAAAAATCGTTATTATACACATCTGTTTCTTATGCAACCCTAAAACATAAACCACAAAATCATAAAAATAATAATAACATAGATCACAAGTAAAATATATCCCGCCCGTAGGGCGGGCTGACCCTAGTTATATATATTGTAAGAGTGATTTTGTGTTTTCATTTTTAATATTTTAAGTTTGTTTTAAAACAATGCGTCCGTTCAAAAGTTAGTTTATTTGAAAGAATGTATTTATTCAGTAATTCAAACATATGTGCCTTTTCATTATAGTTTTATTCATAATTGTTTATTATATTTTTTATTCATAATTGTTCATGGTATCTTTTCGTTATAAATTCATTCATTTTCTTAAGAAATTCTATTAATAATAGTAATCATAAGTAATTCAAATGGATCTTTCTTTTCATTATAACTTTATTCATAACTAGGGCCGGCCCGCCCTACGGGCGGGATTATAATTTAATAAATAATTAGAATAAATATTTTTAATTCTTGTTTAATATGTATTTTTAATTTAAAATATTTTGTTCAACACTGGTATGAATCATTATTGTATTAATTGTTATTTTTTATTCAGTTTCAATCCCATTAAAATTAATTAAATTTCTCCTTACAATCTTAATAAGATTGTTTATTTGAAGTTTTATTCTGTTTTTATTTTGATGATGTAGAATTGTTGATTTATTTGTTTAACTAAAAGTTATCTAGTTTTCTTCATTCTCATAAGTGATTTTGTATCGTCTCTTATTCATCTATATAACTATATATTTAATTTTTATTCAGTTGTGGTTCTACATTTATAGTTTTTTTAGAATCTTTGACATAAATATTTAAATACATTCTACATTTATTTAGTTAGAATAACTTAACATATTCATTTAGTAAAAATATTCATTTTAGTTTTTATATTTAGGAAAAAATTTATTCATTTTAGTTTTATGTTTATTAAAAAAAGGGAAAATTCCATATAAATACCCCAACTAAATTCTATTAAGCTTTTTAATACCCAAACTTTTTCACTACCTAGTTAAAACCTCAATTAATTATTCTGCCCACTTTAATACATCAACTTTTATAACTGTATTTATTTTAATACTCAGACTTTGTTTATTTTAATTAACAATACTAATAAGTTTCCAATGAAATTTTAAAAATGTCTAAACTTCACAAAAAAAATAATTTTATTATATGTTTGAGTAACCAAACTAAATAAATTTTTTATAATCTTAAGTTTTGTAATAAGTTTTTTAAGTTTTATATATTGAATTTAGTTTTTTTTTAAATAAAAAGTAAATTATTTTTTGTCCTTCAAAAACTCTTTTTTTAAAACATTAAATTTTATACAGAGTTTGTTTACCTTATTTCTTAAATCTTCAAATAAACTTAGAAAATTTAAATATTTTTTCTTAGATTTTGGAGATTTTTTAAAATTTCGTTTGAAATTTATTAGTATTGTTAATTAAAATAAACAAAGTTTGAGTATTAAAATAGATATAGTTATAAAATTTGGTGTATTATAATGGGCAGAATAATTAGTTGAGGTATTAAACTGGGTAGTGAAAAATTTGGGTATTAAAAAGCTTAATAGAATTTAGTTGGGGTATTTGTATGGAATTTTCCCTTAAGAAAATATTTATTTTAATTTTCTATTTTTCAGTATTTTTTTTTTATACCTTGCGACCTTTAATTTTCTTATGATGTTGATAAACTGTTATTTTCTTCTTTTTTTTTGTCAAAAAAACTGACATTTTCTTAGGATCAATATCATGTGGTATTGAGCCTACACCCATCATAGTACACTTTGGCATTGTTCCTCAAACTATCAAAACAGCTTTTTGGCAAGCATAATTTCATAACAACTTTAGTTTATTTTTCTCTAGTGTAAAGGCTAGCCTTGTCTGCTAGAACCAAATCAAATTCAACTTCACATATATAACTAATAGACATTATCATAGACAAAAGGTCAAAGAAGAAAGCAGAAACTGCAAATAAGAGTTCAGTGACACTTTTGATATGAGCAACAACATGACCAATATTATGATGTTGATAAACTGAAGCCGCTCGGTGATTTGTAGTAATATACCTTATGCTATGCGTTTGTAGTGGTGCCAGTGCTAGAGTGGCATAGGCACTTCTGAATCATCATATCTAGAACCCAGGGAAAGGTGTGTACTTGAGAGTTGTGACCCATTAATGGAGTCCTTATGCTCAGTCACCGGAATAATTTGATCTCATTGTTTCACTATGGGTTCTGTTCGTCTTCTTCAAGGCTTCTTCGTTGATAAGAGCACAAACTTTTCAGGCACTAATCAAATATAAGTTCATCAACCCAACTTTAATGTATCTCACCCACAAACTATAAAAGATAACGCAGTTTCTTTACTGAAAGTTTAAAACTTTGCTCTCACATCAACTTTATAACTGGTGGTAAGCTCTAAAGGTTAGTTATTTAAAGTCTAATAATAAATACAAAGCAAAACAAAACCCATTCGATGGATAAAGCTACAATGTAAAGATAAAACACATACCTTAATTCCTAAGTGTGCTAATAATATCTCTCTTCGCCATTTGTCGTAGCTTCTTCTCAGATTAACCCAACACGATAGATTTCCAGGTACGGGAGGAGAATGATGAACAAAATAGAGTGTTGTCGTTTTTATTTAGATTTAGTTTCCGAGAATGACAAGAAGAAGAAGAAGAAGAAGCTCCGTCTAAAATTGACATACTGTACAGTTTTAGGTTTAACTGGTAAAACCTAGCCGATCCAAACCGTACCCAATTGAATAAAAAAACTGATTACCAAACCAAAATCTTATTGGTTAAGTTTTTGGTTATTTGAACCAAACCGGAATCTAATTTAGATCGTGATGGAGAAAACGATGAATTATCTCGGCTTTTGGGGGAACATGGATTTCTTTTGATCCAAGCTTTGATCGCTAGAGCAGTTCTGTACTTTGCTTTAGCACCAAGTCTGTTCACTGGTCAGGTTGATCATTTGCTCTTTGAAGCTCTTTATGCTTCCAAGTATTTTATACTGTTTTCTTCGAAAGTTAAAAAGTAGAGGAAGAAGAGAAAAAAAACATGTCATGAGAATCATGTAAGGATACTAAAAGATGTTTACACTCATTTTTTATAGTATCAAATTAAAATAAAACTCAACTTGTTTTTCATTACATTACATTCACTGTTTCTTTCAATAAAAAAGGTTTAGATTACACTTATTATTTTCTCCTTAAAGATTTAGTGATTAAGTGGTCTTGGTGATGTTTTTGTGTTACAATCAGCAGCTGAGAAATGTGAGTGAAATGTTTTTTGTTTAAGCTATAGCTTCAATGGCAAATTTTTGCCTGGCTCTAATCTCCTTGGCTTTGTCGTCAACAGCATCCCATAGTTCAGGAAGTGCTTCACGTATGTTGTGAATATGCTCCAGTGCAATATCAACTCCTTCAGCTTTGTGTGAGGTCCCAACCTAACAATACAGAAATATAACAGAAACAAGAGGTCAGCTCTGAGATTGATTAGTTAAGAATAAGTCTACTATATTTACTTACCAATACGGTGTGGAGACCCACACGCTTCCCGGTTTGAATGTTACTGATACTGTCATCGAAGAACAACTGAAAATACAACCAAGGAGACTTGGAACTTAGTGATTAGGTAACAAAAAACGCAAGAGAAGTATTTGATTGTGGTCTTACTGTCTTGTGAGGATTGATGTTGGTCATCTTGAAAACCTGTTCGAATGCTCCTTCAGATGGTTTGCATATAACCGGAGTCTTTGGGAGTTCAACGCTTGGGTTAGGATTTGCGATGTAACTGCTTATGTCAGTAGCAACAGGGGATTCAGTTTGGGTGTTTGGGTTCAGAGTCTCGAACGATATGATTCTTTCAAAGCTGTCCTCTAGGCCTAGCCTAGCAATGATCTTGGCTGCATGAGCCTTGTCTGCATTAGTGAAAACCTGTATGCAGAAGGAAGATGAGAGAATATATAGGTGAATGGAAACTAAATTGTAAGAGGTTATTTAAGAAAAAAAAACACATACAACTTTGCGAATAGGCAAACTGAGAATAATGTTCCTCAAAACTGGGTCAGGCTTGAGTGTTGCGTATGGAAATCTCCCATGAACAAAACTGTGAAACAAAAAGAGGAATCTTGAGATCCAAACATCTTTAAAGAAGTGATGAGTAAATAAAAAAGGGGGAGGTTAAGTTGAGTACGGATGGAAATCGTCATAGTCAAAGTCATAACCCACAGCCTGAAAAAATCATTGATGGACCTGACTTCTCTATGTGATTTGAGAGCATTTTACTTAGTGTCCTGTTTGTAGATAGCGGACCACGGATCTGCCAAAAACCAGGAAAGAAAAAATCTCAATATAAACTATAGGAGACGTTAACATGAGATCAATGTGTGTGACTCATACCTGTTCCACAAGCTTACTCATCCTCACATTGTTCTGCCAAGCAGATTGCTGAAGTAACATTGTTTTCTAAACATACACATTCAAAAATAAAAGAACTTGAAGGAAATGTAGGTGTCCGTTACACAACCCATTCCTGATCACCACAACCGCTAAGATGTTTTCCCTCCTCCACCATCAAGTGATTTTCTTCCGCCGCCATTAAGGCTGAAGCTGCAGCGTTGGAAATTTTCTTTACGGTGGTGTTGCTCTTTTGCGTATTACCCATCATCCTGGCCTCCCAGAATAAAAGCTTTTTATAGCCGCAGAAACATGTCAAGTAGAAGAGAACTTATAAAAAGCTTATCTTCCCCTTAGCTGAAAGTCTCCTAGAGATCTTGTGCAACAAATTCACTTTACCTTGAATTCTCTGCAACATAATATGAATAGCTCAATTATCAACAACGGTTGAAAAATTAGAAAAAAAGGCTGAAGCAATGGACTTTAAATATATATCCAAAGTTATTTATTCTATGACTAAAGAACTTTAGAACAAACTAACATATGAGAAGGATGTTTGCTTTCTGGTCGTGATGAAAAGCGGTGGATCCAACGAACTATGGGGAGCGATGGTCACCACATAGAAGTGAGAAGCGGTGGATCCGGCAAACTATGGGGAGCGATGGTCACCACATAGAAGTGAGAAGCGGTGGATCCGACAAACTATGGGGAGCGATGGTCACCACATAGAAGTGAGAAGCGGTGGATCCGACAAACTATGGGGAGCGATGGTCACCACATAGAAGTGAGAAGCGGTGGATTCGGCGAACTATGGGGAACGGTGAGTGAGGGGCAGCGTTTCCCCTTCCAAGTGAGGATCCTGTTTGAAGACGGTACAGAAAGAGTGGAGGAGTTTCGGTTTCGGGATTTTGCAGAGTGGAGTCTCTCAGAAGACGACCTTTGTTTCTTCGTTCTGAACAGATTTAGGGTTAGAAGGCCCAACAGAGTAAACAACGAAAGCCCAACAGAATTTCAAATCTGACGTGGACTTATCTAACTGGCATCCTATGTGGCATGCTTTAGAATGAGTGATGCTTTCTTTTATATAATAGATTGTTCATGGTATCTTTTCGTTTATAACTGCATTCACTATTTTAAAATTAATTAATTAAAAAATACAATTCTTAATGATGCAGAGACATATAAAATTTGATAAATTCTTAATTAATGCAATTTTTAGGATGAAATCACTCAACCAAATAAAATAGAGTCAGCTGTTAAATTTTTAGAAAAATATTTTTAAACTAGTTAAAAAGTTATGACTCTTCAAACAAATACATTTTATAATAGGGAACTTTTTTTTATTTAACAGTTGACATCAATTAGCGTCTTCAATCCACCAAGTCGTACATCTTCAAAGGCGACGCTTAGAGAATATGCAGAACCGTCGTTTTTTTCATAAATTTATTAATAGAAAAAAACCTTTTTTACACTTCATTCTCCTCTTATGCGTATGTGTATCCGGGAGACCAATCACCCTCCGCCACCACCGGGGCCATGTTTTATCGCCGGAGGAACAGCCCATGATATCACAGACACGTTAGGTGCAGTCACGTCCATTGCGTTGGTGTTACCTATCGGTTCGGTGAGATGGAGAGCATGAGCCGAGAGGGAGAGTCGGAGAGAAGGCGTTCAAGCCGGAGCCGCCATGTTCCTCACCACACTGATTGTAAATATGTATCATGTTGTCGCCTTGTTGGAGAGCCAACGATGGTACGCTATTGACGTTTCATATCGGTTGGTGAGATGGAGTACGTGATCAGTTATGATAAGGTTTAGGGCCTTATTCCTCTTTTTCTTGTGATACAAATAACCAGTCTAATCATAAACCCTATAATTAATTGTTTTTTCATAAAAATGAAGGTTACAAAAGAGAACTTCAGTTGGTAACCGCTTCTTTTGCAACTCTTAATTGGTATCTTTTAAACACACACACCTTTTAGATCAATGTATTAACGTCTTTAATTTGCAATTTTTAATTGATATATTTTAAGCACACATACCTCTTAGATCAATATATTAACATGTACTATAAATCTTAATTTAATACCATCTTTATTTCTTAAAGAACATTGCCAATTATTTTCTTACCTTATATCAATTTCCAGCCGACATCTTAGCATTTGGTGTATTTTTTTGGTATGCGATAACTCTTCATCTTTACAACACATGTAGTTATATTTATGAATCTCAAGAATCACTAATTTTATAGGTTTATAAAATATTTTCATTTCAATAAAACCATCTGAATTATGATTGTCAACACCAACTTTTAGTGATGAACAAATGGAACTTGTTAATGATTATATATATAGAGTTTCTTAATATTAAAATTAGTTTTAAAATTGTGTCTTTTCATCTTACAAATTTCATTGGTATTCTAAAATATCTAAAAATGCATCTTTTCATGATCATAAAAATGTAAACTTCTCAAAATGAAATATTTTTCATCATAAAAATGTAATGATTTATAATAGACTGTAAACATGTGTAAATCTACTAATAATAGGAATTTCAATAAATGTGAAATATTGTGTCGAAATCATCTTTAAAAAAAGCTCATTCCTCTATTGTATGGTTTCACCTTTCCACCCCCACAATCTCAGAATAGCTTTCAACGTAATCGCCTTTGTATACCATTAATGTGAGTCGCTTTATCCCCAATTCAAGAAAATTTGTTTTTGTATCTGGGTTACTGTATGTCTGTTTGATTTTTTGACACTTTTATTTTGTTTACCTTCCTCCTTTTTGTCATATACTTATTTGTCTCTGCAATTTTATTTTCTCCACTATCGCCACTTGCTTGGTTATCTGAGGGAAAGATATCAATCGCGTGGCTGTTTTGTTTTTCAAGAGAATTTGCTCTCTATTTCAATTTTTTAGATCGCTTAGGAGGAGATGGACTAAATTTTGTTTCTTTTGGGCGATGAATAATCTCTCTTCACGTCTTTAGAGTCTACTCCAAATAATTACTTTCTTATTAGTTGGTACGTGATGTTTCTTCCAAGAGAACTGATCCGAGAGCCATGAAAAGCATTAGTGTAATTTGTTGTTCTCTTGATTAAATTATTAACAAACGATCGAAGAGAAGAAGATGATGAATGAGAGCTTCGAGAGAGAGAGTTTGAGCTAAATGTAAAAGTTTGTTATTCACATTAATTGTAACTGTACAGATACATTTACACATATATATAGGTACCCGGTATTTACAAGTAAACCGAACTAGTACCTAACCAACATTTAACCAGTACTTAACCAACTAATCTAAGACGCCCCCCTCAAGTCTTTAGCTTCTGTGTCTGGTTGAAGATAAAGACTTGACATGGAAACCCGGCTTAGAAGAGAATGAAAAGGACCTGGATGCAGAGACTTTGTCAAAATGTCTGCAAGTTGGTTACCAGTAGAAACATGAAGTGTTCGTAAGCGTCCTGCCTTCAGCTGATCTCTCACCGTGTGACAATCGATGTCTATATGTTTGGTGCGTTCATGGAAGACAGGATTCATGGCAATATGAATTGCTGACTTGTTATCACAGAAAAGCTTCGCAACAGACGTGACAGAGACATGAAGATCTTTGAGCAACTGTTGCAGCCATATCAACTCACAAGTCGCTAGAGCCAAGCTTCTATACTCCGCTTCTGTACTGCTTCTACTCACAACAGATTGTTTCTTGGACTTCCAAGAGATCAAAGAAGTACCCAAGAAGACACAAAAACCAGTAACAGAACGCCTAGTATCCTTACAAGTAGCCCAATCCGCATCAGCAAACGCATTGAGACACAACTCTGTATCAGCAGGATAGAAAAGACCTAAGGCTGGATTCCCTTTCAAGTAACGCAGAACCTTATGAGCTGCCTGCAAATGAATATCCGTTGGAGCTGATAAGAATTGACTTAACTGATGAACCGCAAAAGTGATATCCATCCGAGTGATAGTCAGATACAAAAGACGTCCAATGAGCTCACGGTACTCTGTAGGATTGGGTAATAAAGTTCCCAAATCCTTAGATAAGTGCAGAGAAGGATCCATTGGTATAGTACTAGGCTTACATCCAAGTAGACCAGAATCTTCGAGCAGGTTCAAGGTATACTTCCTCTGGCAGACAGCTATACCCTTAGCAGAACGTGCTATTTCAAGACCAAGAAAGAACCTAGCATCACCAAGATCTTTGATCTTAAACTCAGAACGCAACAGATTCTGGAGAGCAAGCAAATCAACCTCATTATTACTCGCAATCAAGATGTCGTCCACATACACCAGAACAGCAAGAAAAGATGTTGTGGTTGCTTTGACAAAAAGAGTATTGTCAGCTGGTGACTGAATGAAGTTAGCTCCAAGTAAAACGGAAGAAAACCGCTTATACCATTGACGTGAAGCCTGCTTGAGTCCATAGAGAGATTTACGCAATCGACAAACAGCATTAGGAGGAAGAGTTGTACCCAAAGGAGGAGTATAACCCTGAGGAATCCGCATATATATCTCTTCATCCAACTCCCCATGTAAAAAAGCATTAGAAACATCCATTTGCTTCAAAGACCATCCTTTTGCTGCAGCCAAGCAAAGTAAGAGCTTCACACTCGTCAATTTAGCAACAGGAGAAAACGTGTCAATAAAGTCAAGACCTTCCTGTTGAGTAAATCCCTGTGCTACCAACCGAGATTTAGGCCTCTCAATCGTACCATCAGCATTATATTTCAGAGTATGAACCCATTTACACCCCACCACATTCTTACCAGCAGGTAAGCTTTCAATATCCCAAGTACCATTCTGCTCAAGAGCCTCAAATTCTGCATTCACAGAGCCTCGCCACATCTCAGATGCCATAGCTTGCTTAAACGTTTTGGGTTNGCCTCTCAATCGTACCATCAGCATTATATTTCAGAGTATGAACCCATTTACACCCCACCACATTCTTACCAGCAGGTAAGCTTTCAATATCCCAAGTACCATTCTGCTCAAGAGCCTCAAATTCTGCATTCACAGAGCCTCGCCACATCTCAGATGCCATAGCTTGCTTAAACGTTTTGGGTTCAGTTTCAACAGTATATGCAAAAATAGAGGATTGAAAAAGAGGGTTGAGATTATCATAGCACAAAACAGAAGAAATAGGATAAGGAGTTTTCTGTTCTTTGGGAATATTAAGTGGTGAAAAAGAGGAAAAAGGAAGTAGAGCACAATGGTACTCAGAAAGATAGCTAGGAGGCTTAGTTGATCGCTTAGGTCTAGTAACATTAACAGAGCCAACACCAGTAACATTATCATGTGATGTAGATGAAACAGTTCCATTATGCCCATTAGATGATGATAATGATGAATGTGAATGTATGACAGTATCATCAGAAGAAACAGGCATAGGATGAGAACAATCAGAATGCAAATTTTCTGGTAAAGGAAAAGTCTCAACAAAATGAAATGGAACAGGTAATGGTAAAATGGTGTTGGGAAACATATCAGTAGCAGTAGAAACTAAATCACTTTTCTTAAAAGGAAAATCCGATTCATGAAAAACAACGTTTCGAGAAATAGAAACAGAGTGAGATTCTAAGTCAAGCACCTTAAAACCTTTATAACCAAGCGGATAGCCTAAGAAAATACAAGGTCTAGCTCTAGGAGAAAATTTATGACGATCTTTGAGATGCGTAGAAACATAACACAATGAGCCAAAAACTTTCAACATTGAGTAATCAGGTTTCTTACCAAGTATAAGCTCAAAAGGTGACTTGAAACCAAGTAAAGGAGAAGGCAAACGATTGATCAAAAAGACCGCAGTCAATACACAATCACTCCAATATGCTAAAGGAACCTGTGATTGAAATAACAATGCTCTAGCTACATTCAACAAATGTTGGTGTTTACGTTCAACAACCGAATTTTGTTGCGGTGTGTAAGCACAAGAAAAATAATGCAACATGCCATGTTCCTTAATAAGATCAGGAAAAGCGAGCTCAGGTGCATTGTCAGAACGAATAGCTTTAACTTTGGTATGAAACTGAGTTGAAACTAGATTTAAAAATGCAGGAAAAGAAGTAGAAACATCACTTTTATTCCTCAACATATAAACCCAAGTCATTCTTGTACAATCATCCACTAACGTAAAGAAATAACGAAATCCTTCAACAGACTCTTGACTAAACGGACCCCAAATATCTATGTGAACTAAATCAAAAGGTTTAGATGACAAATGATTATGTGAAACATAGGCTAACCTTTTCTGTTTTGCTAAAGGACAAACATGACAATGTGACTCTGTAGAAGAAGAAACCGACTTCAAACTTGGTAAATCTTGCAACAACTTTTGAAAAACACCAGACGAGGGATGACCTAAACGAAGATGCCATAGATGCTCATCAACCAACAAAGATCCACAAAAGAACGACGCAGGAGATGATGTCGAGAGGGAAGGAATATCAAGAATATAGAGATTGTTGTAAAGACTACCCCTCCCAATCATCAATCCCTGTGAAAGTTCCTGTAACAAACAACAATCAACAAAGAAATGAGCCGAGCAAGATATAGTTTTCAGTAAATTGCTAACACTTATGAGATTAAAGTGAAAATCAGGAACATGTAAAACATGATGCAAGACTAATGCATCCGTAATAT